TGTTTGATTATAGTTCCTTTCCTCGGATAGTTTCATAGACGAATGCACATCTCTTATCAAAACTATCGTAGACGTAAATAAAGATTTATTTTGTCGTAACCTACAACTTTTAGAGATAGGTAAACTTAGTCAATTTTAAGATGTATTAAAAAATATTGGACCGTTTGGCGTGACCTTCACCCCAAACATGCCAAAATAACGATGTTATTTAGACCAAACGGTCCAATATCTAACGTAGGCTCCCTTTTCCTAGACTTTATTATAAGAATATCTTAAGATTCAAGCGGAAAGCAAATGGGCGATTATGAGTTTTTTGTATCTCATTAAATTGACAAAGTTTGCCGATCTTCAGATCGAAAACATCCCATTCCCCAGAATGTTCTTACATAAAAAAAGTTTTAGGTAACGAAAAGATAAAGCTATTCACACAGTTTAGACAAGTGTTAATCATTTGATAATAAGGGGTCTTTACTGCTGACTATAACGTCACAGATCTTCTTGTTTGTAATCATAACTCTAATGTTTTCCCTCTCTGTATAGTATTTGTTAATGCAGCTAATAAAGAAAGATAATTTCCAATACTTTTAACTAGAACTGCAAACAGAAATTTTTTTTTATCTTTAAGTGCCGGTATCATTGGAACTTTTATTGCCGATAGTTTTCAGTCCTTTTGGAACTAGAATTTTTTTCTGGCAACTTTTTAAGTAAAGGCTTTACATAACTTTTATTTTTTTAAATCTTTTATTTAAAACTTCTGTCGATTTTTCAAATAAGTCGATCTAAAAAATTACTTTGTAATTCATTTAAAACACATTGTAACTCTAATCTAAGCCCAATTAATGTTTATTTTTCAGTTAACGAAAGTTTTTTGTTTAAGAGCTTGAATAAATAAAAGTTAAATTTTATTACAAAAACCTTCCTGAGTACATTTATTTTAAGAACGTATTTCCTAAAAATTTTCACGAAAACTGTTAAAAATAAAATCTCAAGTATTATTAGAAAATACTTGAGAAGTTCATTTTACTAAGAAATCTTAGTTATTTGAGCACTGAAATTTAAGAAGTCAAAAGTTAAGTTAAGAAAAAATAGAGTGGGTTAACTTTGCACTGTAGTTTACACTTCAAAGCTCTTAAATTGCAATAAACATTTCTAAAATAAAATTTATTGTATTTTGGCCACATATGTAATTAAAATTAATATATTTTTAGTTATAGTATTTTTAGTATGGAATATCTGGAATCTTGCGGGGAAAATTCGTATGCCTTGGATAGGAACGTCCTTTGGATATTTCTTCGGAGCGTATTAGCCTTTAGTTAATCAACTGATAACTACATTATAAACTTAATCAACTTTTCATAATAATTAATAACTAAATGCAATTAGAGAATTAAATGCGGCAATATTTGTAATTAAAACATTCCATATTTTTTTTTTAATCAACCACTCGCTATATAGGCACCAGGTTGTTATTAAATAAGCCTTGCTCTCATCGGGTGGAAAGTCAATAATCTCGCCCAACTGAGCAATAAAACATCAAATTAGAACCACGATAACGTGATATTAACAGGCGTTTAGAGAGGTTCAAGATATAATTAAATGCGCTGTATAGGCTGGAGTGCAAAACGTTATGCAAGAATATCGTGTCCACGTCTCGAGTCCCGGAGTGGTATTCGAAAGTAGGTTTTAAAGAGGGGATTTTATATTCGTCATGTTAAGTTCTAAGAAACCATCAACAGGATGTTTTAAAAATTTATTCCAGAGAAGGAATGTTAAAAAATAATAATAATAAAATTCGTGTTAGTAACAATTTGTATCATTAATTTATTATTTAAGTTTCAATAATAATGTTAATATTAATTTTCATTAAGCGTATAGATATACACCGATATTTTTAGTTTTTAGATCAAAATCTTATCTAACCTCTTATCAATAAAAAATATAGTGTTACATAAAATTATCATTGTCCTTTAATGAGCTTAACTATCGGTCAATAAATAAAACTTATTTAATATCGACATATCTCCCTCCACTAGGAGAGGGAGGGAAGTTAAGATGAGACAGCTTGAAAAAATCCGTCATTTTATTAATACGATGATAGGATTGAATCGAAACTGAACTTCAGCGACTTATGCAGATTAATATAGTTTGGTTTAATAATTAAGGTTTTATTTTGAGTGGTATTTGAAGTATTCTTGAACGAAAAAAAAAGAAGTGATTTCTCACTAATTTCATTATCGATAAAAAGCCATTACAAAGGAATAACCTTTATTATTATTAACTAAAAGTTTAACATTAATAAAATTTGATAAAAGCTAGACTGCTAAAAACATTTTTTCTTATTATTTATTTTTTTTATAAAAATCGTTGAAATGTTCCTTGCAGACATTATTAGCGACTTGAAATGCTGTGTTTGCTATTCTATAAATAAATTCTCTACATTAATGATAGAGTTATTTGGTTGTTAAATGTTAAAGTAAAACTACATAGATATCGTATTTTCATATTAATATTAACATTTTTTTTACAAAAAGTAAAAGTTAAAGAACGTTGTTACTTGAAAGAAGTCAAGTAAGCCGGTTAAAAGTTTAGTTCACTAAGTTATAATATTATGTGGAGTATTTAAATCAGTCTTTTGCCCACGTATAAGAAATAAATCATTTTATATTTGAAAAAAAAAAATAATGCTAAGAAATACAAATTTTGAAATTTAAATTGAACTTACGACAACCGACTATAGACCAACAAATACGTTTTGTCTACTCTCGTTTTCATCTCAAACTACACGGGCACACAAAATGATATGCTCATCAGGAGGAGACTAAAAAGGAGCTGGATGAGAGATCTCCTCACCTAAATCAAAGAAGTAAATAATGAACAGGAAGAGGTGCTGCTGGGTATTATCCTTCCTCATGTCTATAATGAAAATCCTCATCATCACAACACATCTACTGTTTGTCAATAGTGCGGATAAATAGTTAAAGAGAAAAAAGTTGAACATGGATTAGGAACGATTTTTACAGAACATTTGTTTTGTTTTTTATTCTTTAGGCATTTGGAAAAACTAATACAATCATGCATATTACAAAACAAATGAGTTTGCACATCGAAGCTCCAATATTACAAGAATAAGCTCATTTCGCTGATCTGCAGTAACGAGGAAACTATAAAATTTTGAAAAATGTTTTATCACGTTAAATTGTCGAAAAGATTTGTTTGTTCGAATCGATGGCATCGTGTATTATTGGCAACATTTGAATGGATAGACGAATTTTGCACTCGTACAATCAATTTTAAAATTTTGTTGTTTATATAATAATAATTCTAGTTATTTTGCCTCTTCTATAAAATTGTATGACTTGCAGTAACGCCATTGTTCCACCGCATGAGCTATAAGAAGTTTAATTTTTTTCTTTAATAAAATAAATTTAATAAATGCTCATAAAATGATATAATCTACTTATTGGGTTATTAGCGAAATAATAAACGAGCCGTCCTTTTGGATAAATATGTCTAAATGGAAAATACGTAAGAAAACAACCCAAAGAAGGCACGGTTGTTTTAAAAATTTAAAAACACAAGTTAGAAATTAAATAAATAAAATATATGTGCCTGGTTTATGGAACAAAACAGAAGATTGAAAAGAATGTTTAGATGAGATGACGCGCCAGATATTACGTATTGTCGGGAACTAGGAACAATTCGCCAACAAACACGTTGATGCTGAGGGCCTATCACTAAAGCGCGTCAAGATCACAATCAGCCACGTTTGGATCAATAACTAGCTGATTGGGGGCTGTATCCGACCGACACCAGACGTCAGGAAATCGACCATCTTATCTCCATTAATTGATAATGTATAGAAAAATAACGAGAATTTCAATATAATGATATACAGGCATAGATTTATTTAAATTAAATAAACAAAGACAAACACAAACAGTGTTAAGAGCATGGCAGATCGAAAACACAGAAACATCCACCATGAAATCACAATTTACACAGACAGTAAAACTGTAATTCACATTTAAAAGTGTGAAATTAGAATGATTCAAAGGTTCGTGTTTGTAATTGAGAGTTCGGATAAACAAACCAAAAATTATCCATCCAGTAACTTTAGACATTAAACCAATACTTAGAGAATTAAAAGGCGCAGCGAATCCGAAGGTCTGATACTGAAATCACAATGAATGACTATATACCTCCGTCCAACGACCCACATCTAGACAGAATTTCGCTATGTTAGTCTTAAAACTATGATCCCATTTACGCTTCAGACTACTAATCGGTTAGGCAATAATTTACTTTTAAGGCATTAGTTTATAATACCCCGTGATCTCCTAATGTAGTCATATCATTAGAGTGCTACCATTGGGTAGTTACTCAGCAAATGTATTCATGTCATTATATCAATTATGTCCAAATTTACTTGATGTATTTATGTAATACAGTTGTAAATGTCATAAAGAAATAAAAAAAAAAAAGTTTATAATCAAGCCCAACCACTTAAATACCTTTTCTTCTTACATCTCGCAATTAAATATACTAAAAGATAAGCCAGTTCCCCAAAATTAATTCTGAAATGCCAAGTGTTTTAATATTTCTTTGTGAAAAATGTTCGACGGAATATGGTAGTTTCCTTAAGACCTTAAGGTGCCCAACGTAAGCGGCTGCGTAGTAGGTAGGCAATAACAGGGAAGGAGGCTCAAATTGGGTAATAAATTACCCAAGCTTCTAAAGAACTTCAAAATATTTTAGCGACCATTGATGGAAGAAAGATAAATAACAAATATAAAAATGTTCGACGGAATATGATAGTTTCGAAGACCTTAAGGTATTCAACGTAAGCGGCCGCGTAGGTAGGCAATAATAGGAAAAAAAGCTCGAATTGGATAATTTAGAGCTTCAATATATTTTAGTGACTGTTGCTGGAAGAAAGATAAATAACACATATATATTTACACTCGTTAGCAACTTATACGGTACCTTACAACTTACCATGGATGAGAAAAGATAGGATAGGTTTACGAACAATACGCTACATCTCACGGAAAGCGACACCACTCGAAGCGTCCTTGCGGCTGACATTGCACCCCCGCCCACGCGGTCAGGACCGGATTCTGATCGTAACCGGTTTCTGGAGTCTTTGTCTGCAGATCCCGTGGTCCCGTGTAGAAGAGTGTCTTCTTAAAGATACGGTAGTCGACGCGGTAAATGCCAATTACACCTTTTAAATAATGTAATCAGAAATTGTAAACTTCACGAAAAAAACCCACAGGGATAATAGGTCATTCACAAAAAAATACAATAGGGTTCATAATCTATATCTATAAACGATTCAGCGAGGCTGTGCTTCTCACTAGAAAATTTGTAATTAATAAAAACTTGTTTTCGTTAAATTTTAGATGCTAAATGAATTCTGCTGATTTCCGTGAGGAAATTTCCAACTTTTTCATGAGTTTTTCTCCAACATTCCCTAGTCGCAAACTTACAATATTAAATAAATCGATGCCAACTGGGAACCTGTACTTTTTATTTTTCTACATATATTCCTTAACCAATTATTGATGACTGAACTAAGGATAGTGTTGCCTAAATGCAAGACCAAGAGGAATCTTGGTCTTGCAGTTACCTATAAACATATTACTATAATTTTTGAGATAGGCGAAATCTAACTAAGCCCAAATGAAAAATTGGAAGAGTTAAACGCAAAAATATATTGGTTATACCAATTCCTTACATATATCAACTAAAATTTTCAAGTATTAATGCCTATGTTGCCTTAATTTGTATTCACAAATACAATTTTACTTTTATGACTAATTTTGGGCAACACTAACTAAGGAAGAGCGGGAGACAGGGATAGAGTCGAAGAATGGAAGAGTGGATAAGCTAAAGGGCCTAATAAAGATGTAAAAAGATATGGAGGATCAGGGGTGCCCATCCCCCCAATCAATGGCGCATGGACCTCTCTCCTCCCCTCCCCAAGATATTTTATTGCTCTCCTATTCTTAAAAACATCATAAATAACAGTACTGTAAATCATATACAATTATACGTGCTGAGATTCGTTCCTTGTATCCTCTTAGTCTCCTTATTTGAAACTTTTCAATCTGAAAATTCATAACTCCGTCGAAATATTTTTCCTAAAAAATTTACAATCCCCTGAAAATGTATCCCCTCAAAAATTGTGAAGGCGCAACTTGTGCCATGAAACGTCCTTGTGGGCACCCCTCCTGTGGAGGATGGTAATAAATGAAACTAAAATATATTTGGTAAGTAATAATAATAATTATATAGTTAGCTCGGTAAAATAAATGTTAACACAAAGCAAGGAGTATTAAAGGCAGTAGAGTTTTTTTGTTTTGTTGTTGGAGGGATTTAACAGTATTAAATTTGGGGAACGAGGGAGAGGAATACCCAGATCACTCACAGAAAGAAACAAATTATGACCAATGAAAAAAATATTTTTCTTTTTTTTTTGGAGGGAAGGAAGAAAGCCTTTCCTCTGATGAATCTTAATTGATTAAAGGTGACTGTATATCGTAAGATAAAAACACATGGTACCTGTTCGACGAACTTCAGCTTTACCAAAAACGCCAAACGCATCATAATGACGAGTAAAGATATTTGTAGTCTGCCCTGCAATACTAAAAGTACAGACCAGATTACTGAATAGTACCCACCTGTAAAATTTGCGAAGAAATAAAACAGCCATTCCTCGAAAAGAGAATCAGCCAAAAGAAAACATTTTCATGATTTTTTTTTAGAGAAAATATAATAAACTAATCCTGTAGACTAGTTAAAAATAATAATTTTTTTATGAGAGCTGAAAGGGATGCATTCTTGTAGTCTTCGGATTTCAATTGGTCTTGAGTAGGAAGGAAATAGTCTGATGAAGATGATTGGAGGAGAACTGAGAAGTGAAAACAAGCAAGAATCTGAGAGTTGAGAAGCGGAGGCTGACAAGCGATGGCGATAGAAAGAAGGATGCAAACTTCACTTATGATAATGCTCAATAGTCAGAGATAATTTATAACTACTTAGAAAATTGTCTGAATTAAAGAAGGAGAAACAAAATAGAAAAAGTTAATAGTATAGAAATAAAATGTCCACGTTATAAAGCTGAAGGATATTAAAAAATAAAATAAAAATTGAAGTTAACTATATAATTTAACATCCCTTAAAACTAAAGAATTGTTTTAAAATCAGCTTAAGCAAATCACAAATTGTATCTAAAAAGATAGAAACAAAGTATAAATTTATACATCTCCACATTGATATCAAACATCGTAGCACAAAATTATTAAAAGAAGAAGGCGTGATTAGGAATAACTTTTTTTTTTTTACTTACGGCCAACTTTGTATTTGAAAGTACAATTTGTATGTGAAATCTGCGAAAATAACCATACGATAAGGTAACTATAATGTCAACAAGTCTGAACAGGTACTCAAAATTTAATGCCCATATCGAATTCAAGTACGAATCGAATTTTATAATTCAGTATTCTATAAATATTCACAAACTGCTTTCTATACTTTACCGAAACTAAACATCTGATCGATGCGGTATCAAAACCTCAGCAGTAGGTTTGGCTAGATTCTATGCTATATATTTCATGAGTTCATGCAATTATTCAAAAACTTTTACAAATAATTGAGTTATCGTAATTAAAATTCTGAATTAATGCCAGCTAAAAACTGGTTCATAACAGTTAATTCAGTGAATAGATGAAATTTTAAATTAAAAAGAATTGAGGCTAATTTACTTAGGTGTAAAAGTCACTTATACCCGTATATTAATATAAGAGGTTTGCAAATTGGATTCTGTTCCTCATTTCACTAAATAATACACATGTATACTAATAAACGGATAAATATTTGATAAAAAAAAAAAAAAAGTGCAAACAACTAGAATTTATAATGGTGTTTGTCAACAAGGGTTCTGTCAATGAAGTTAGTTGTGTTAAGACACGAACGTTCAATGACAAACATGATGTTCGTGATGAGAAGGCACATTTTGATAGAGCTCATAAACGGGGAACTGCATTGGCACTGATAATTAGTACAAAGAAAACAAGAAATATTTTTAAAGAATCAAGAAAAAATATTAAATCTATAATTTTGAGTTTTAACTGATGTATACATATATATATATATATATTATTTCACTTACTATTACTGAATGCATAAATGAAGAATTCGACAAGGAAATATTTATTTAAATTGGTGTAATATAAAACTATATTGTTACTGATAATTCTGTGCCCCGGAGGTACTTGTCACTAGTGTTGCCCAAAATCGGTCTCGGTCTTGCACTTTGCGAGACCAAGACCAATGCCGCCTAATTGTTGCAAGACCGAGACCAGGGGCTGGTAAAAAAAAAAACGATTTTTAAAATAAAAATTGAGACAAAATAGTTACTAATAGTCGACATTTTAGTTACTATATGTTAATAATTTGTATAAACAATATACTTTTGCATTTAACTCCTCTAATTTTGCATTCGGGCTTAGTTAGGTTTCTCCTATCTAAACAATTACAGTGATATCTCTATAGTAATAAGCTGATAAGTAACTGTAAGACTGTTGCGAGATTCTTGCGCAAGACCAAGACTATGACCAGGACTGAGTTTGCAAGACCAAGACTCGTCTCGGTCTCGCATTTGGGCAACACTACTTGTCACTTGTCATTAATACTCATGTCCACTTGTTTATTAAATTATTTTAGTAAGAAAGAAACAAATTTTAATAATGTAAAGTCATGGAAAATTGACTGCCCGAATAAATACAAACATATTGAGATGGTTTCCCTTACCTCCTGGTTACAGATTTATTAACTGAAAAACAAATTTTTATAACACAAAGTTATGGGAAAGTGGCTCCCTTGAACAAACACAGAAATGGAAATGGTGTTCTTTACCCCCGTGATAAAGAATTAAACCACGAATATTGATTTGGTATAAAGATATGCTTGATTTACAGAAGATGTGAGTCAATTTTTATCTTTATTCCTGTAGAAAATATTCAAAGTCTTAATATACCCTTATTCTGATTATTATGAAACAATATGTAAAAAATGTAAAAGATAAAAATAAATTTACAAAATAAATGAAATACAAAGTATTTCAAAACAAAAATAACCAATAAATATTCCTAGTCAAATGGTGGCGTGGTCAGAGTCAGATACCTGTTGAATGAATGCGGTCCTAATCTTGTCGGAACTCAGCGGTTTAGGTTTAGGCAAATGCTCATTCCCAATTCATGGCTTTTCTGATGACTTAGCTATTTTGCCTGTGTATATATGTTTATGTACATGAATATATAATATAACACCACCATCCTTTGATAACCTTCAGTACATTGCTACAGCCTATTATATATTCTCGGAAAAATACAACTAAAAATATTAGTATGGTATAAAGTTTAATGCATCATTCAACACATCACATCATTGTTCCATTAGGAAACACAATTTTCAAAACTTGTTTTTCTTCTTCGTCTTTTTTCCTTACAAAAATTAGAGGCAATGATAAAAATAAGTACAACCCTCATATGCGATCCAATTGCTTTTAAACTATTTAACTATTTAAAACATCAAATAAACGTTGTAAAAACAAATTAAGTAGGACGTTAAGTAAATAAAATAAAATAAGTAAAGGCATAATAAGGATGAAATAATATTTTTAAAACCATTATAATAAGACAAATAAAGTTCGTATTCAAAATCGAATTAAAAAAAATTATTAGTAATTAATAATTATTGTGTCATTTTCATAAATACAGTTATAGATAAATGCTGCATAAAAATAACAGTGTTATAAAAATAAGAAGAGATAGCAGTATCCTCTATTTCAACAAAGAAATAATATATGATTAGCAATATGTAATTCTGATCGATTCCTACTCAGCCCTCAAGTTAATAAAATATTTTAAATTGCAGTAAATTAGCAAATCTAAAGGGCAGTAATATAATCAACTGTGTTGAATTTAATCAAAAACCTGAGGAGATATATGTCAATGTACATGGAATGCCCCAACTGTTTACAATATTTTTTTGGTAACTGAAATTTCATATTTTTACATGATTGTATTCTTTCTCATAAATTATGCCTTTAAGATTTCCAATCTCTAAACTACATACAGAAAACCCAATATAACGAGTTACTTTCGACGATTTAAAAAAACACAAAAAAAAACTGAAAAAGTAAGAAGATAATCTATTAGAAAGTGTC